CTATGTTTTTTTTTTCTTTATTTCCTTACTTGTTTTTGACCTCACTCTTGTCTCTTAAATCTTTGTTGGTGGGACTGTTCCTATCTCCTTCTGCCTGTATGATTATCATGCCTTTCTCTCTTTCTCTTTCTCTTGTTCTTTCCGTTTCTCTCTCGTTTTCTTTCTCTTTCTCTACGTGTCTTTCCACCTGTCTCTCTGTCTCTGTCTCTGTCTTTATCTCTCTGTCTCTTTCTATGTATCTCTCTCTCTCTCTCTCTCTCTCTCTCTCTCTCTCTCTCTCTCTCTCTTCTTTCTCTCTCTCTCTCTCTCTCTCTCTCTCTCTCTCTCTCTCTCTCTCTCTCTCTCTCTCTCTCTCTCTCTCTCTCTCTCTCTCTCTCTCTCCCTTTCCCCCTTTCCCTTCCCCCTTTCTATTCCTCCCACTCCATTCTCCTTCCCTCTTCTCGAAACATCCTCTTGCTTTATTCCCTTTCTATTTCCACTCGATTAATTCCCCTCAATTATGAGTTAATTTACCTTCGTGATAAAGTCTCATATCCTAAGCTAAGATGTCTTTGTATCTTGATGTCTTTCTCTCTTTTTCTCTTTCTCTCCTTCTCCTCCTTCTCCTCCTTCTCCTCCTTCTCCTTCTTCTTCTTCTTCTTCTCCTTCTTCTACTTCTTCTCTTTCTCCTCCTCCTCCTCTTTCTCCTTCTTCTTCTTCTTCTCGTTCTTCTTCTTTTCCTTCTTCTTCTTCTCTTTCTTCTCCTTCTCCTTCTTCTCCTGCTCCTCTTTCTCCTTCTTCTCCTTCTTCTCCTTCTCCACTTTCTCTTTCCTCTCCTTCTCCTCCTCCTCCCTCTCCTTCTTCCCCTCCCATTCTTCTCCTGCTCCTCTTTCTCCTTCTCCTCCTTCTCCTTCTTCTCCTTCTTCTCCTTCTTTTCCTTCTTCTCCTTCTCCTCCTTCTCCTTCTTCTCCTTCTTCTCCTTCTTCTCCTTCTCCTCCTTTTCCTCCTTCTCCTTCTCCTCCTTCTCCTTCTTCTCCTGCTCCTCTATCTCCTTCTTCTCTTTCTCCTTCTCCACTTTCTCTTTCCTCTCCTCCTCCCTCTCCTTCTTCCCTTCCCATTCTTCTCCTGCTCCTCTTTCTCCTTCTTCTCCTTCTACTTCTTCTCCTCCCTCTCTTTCTCCTCCATCACCAATTGTTCCACCTTCTAATCTGCCTTTCTTCTATCTCTTCCTCCTTCTCTGCTTCTTTTCATTTCTGTTCTTTCCCTCTTCTTCGTCTTCCTCCACCAGTTCCTTCTCCTTTGCCTTCTCTAGGGAAAGTAGTGAGGGAGGAATGCAATGAGGGAGGAATGCAATGAGGGAGGAATGCAATGAGGGAGGAATGCAATGAGGGAAGAATCTTGGGAGGGAGAAATGTAGTGAGGGAGGAATGCAATGAGGGAAGAATCTTGGGAGGGAGAAATGTAATGAGGGAGGACTCTTGGGAGGGAGGAATGTAATGAGGGAGGAATGCAATGAGGGAGGAAAAGGGAAGATGGGAGGAGGAGGATGTATTTCCCAATCTATTTACCTATCTTATTCTCTCGTTTGTTTGTTTGTTTTTGTTTTTAAGCATCTATTTTTTAAGTGCTAAGTATGTATTTTCCTTTTATGTAGCTGTCCCTTTCGCTCTATCTTTATCTATTTTTATCTATATTATCTATTCACATCTACACGTACATACAAATATATGAACATGTTACTAAAGGAAACTAAAGAAAGCAATGAATGGTCAAATTATTCACTAGATTACAAAGTACAAAGGAGGGACCGACTTCACTGTGGCCGAAGATTGATTAAAAAGATAATTGAATTAGGAGAGAATGACGAAGACAACGGAGGAGAGGAAGATGAAGAAAATAGAAATAAAAAAAAAGGAAGAAGATGAAGACGTAGGTACGAAAGTGACACGAAATGACACAAATGGAAATTTGAGTAATAAAGACGAAGAAGAAAGAACACACGTACACACACACACACGAACACACACACGAACACACACATACACACACGAACACACACACACACACACACACACACACACACGCATACACACACACGCACACACACACACACACACACACGAACACACACACACACACACACACACACACACACACACACACACACACACACACACACGAACACACACACACGAACACACACACACAGACAAACACACAGACAAACACATAACCCTCGACACACAAAGGTTAATTGAGCTCCAAGAAAACACAAGCCGTCAACATCTTATTATTAGCCCAAAGACCCGCCCACATAAGGCCCATCTCCCTCGCAGCGTCTCGGGAAGGCGCGGGGAGTCGTAATGCTGTTGTTTGCTAATGCCGTTCAGGTGTTCGAGTCCGGTGACGTAAGAGTGACGTAAGAGTGGTGTTGGTGTGACGTAAGAGGGGTGTGTGACGTAGGCGTGACGTAGGAGGGGCGTGTGACGTAAGAGAAGTTGGTGTGACGTAAGAGGGCTGTGTGACGTAGGCGTGACGTAAGAGGGGTGTGTGACGTAAGAGAGGTTGGTGTGACGTAGGCGTGACGTAAGAGAGGTTGGTGTGACGTAAGGGGGTTGTATGACGTAAGAGGGGTGTTGGTGTGACGTAACAGAGGTATAACGTAAGAGGGGTGGTGGGACGTAGGTGTGACGTGTGACGTGTGTGTGTGTGTGTGTGTGTGTGTGTGTGTGTGTGTGTGTGTGTGTGTGTGTGTGTGTGTGTGTGTGTGTGTGTGTGTGTGTGTGTGTGTGTGTGTGTGTGCAAATGATATGTGTTTCCTCCTCTATTTCATCTCAGTTTCTACTCTGTCCTTTTGTTCTTCATTGTCTACCCGTCTCCTCCCCCCCTCCCTCCCTCTCTCTCTCTCTCTCTCACCCTCTCTCTTTCTCTCTCTCTCCCTCTCTCTCTCTCTCTCTCTCTCTCTCTCTCTCTCTCTCTCTCTCACACACACACACACACACACACACACACACACACACACTCACTCTCTCACTCACTCCCTATCTATCTGTCTATCTATCTATCTATCTCCTTCTCTCCCTCTCTCTCTCTGTCTATCTATCTATCTATCTCTTTCTCTCCCTCTCTCTCTCTGTCTCTCATGCTCACATTAATGCTCAAGTAAATGCATAAATTACCGAGAATTCACGCATGGCCTTCCTCTGCCGTGATTGAGCTACCACTGAACTTCTGCCTAAATGTTCATCACTTCAGACTCAAGTGGACCGTCACTTGTTTTATTTTTTATCAGCTGTACCGAGGGTTATTATCATTGTGGCGTTTATGAATCTAATGAGGCGCGTCGAATGCTGGGGTTTGATTCCATGTCACTTATAGTTATTTTCACTTCTTGGTGTTTCTCTTTTTCTTCTGTTTTTTTTTTCTTTGTTTGTTTTATCTATATATGTAGCTGGTCAAATATTTTTCTTGGTATATCTACTTCTCTTTCTGTTTATCTATCTATTTATTTGCCTGTCTATGCTTCTATCTATCAGTATGTTTGTTTGTTTCCATCTGAAGAAAAGTAAGATGAGAAAAAATGACGTATAGACAGACAAGAAGAAGAAGAAGAAGAAGACGAAAGAGAAGAAAACGAAGAAGAAGAAGACGAAGGAGAAGAAAACGAAGAAGAAGAAGAAGAAGAAGTGTACATACATATGTGTGTGTGTGTGTGTATATATATACATACATATGTGTACATATTTGTATATACATACATACACACACATATGTATACATATATATAAATAAATATGTGTATGTGTGTATATATAGAGAGAGAAAGAGACAGACAGACAGAACGAAATGTGTCAATATAATATGATTTGAAATATTATTAAGAAAAAAAAGAAACAGATAAAATAAGACGAAACAAATAGAAATATTAGAAAGTATGGATGAAAAATGAGTGTATGAGTGGATTATACATGAAATGAAAATATGACAGATCTCCGTATGCATGTATGTAGGCCTACATCTTTACTGTATTTCTATGCATGCAAATACGGAAATAGATGAAATAGAAAAGAGAAGATAGAGTGAGGAAGACGGAAGAAATATGAAAAGGGGAAATAGGAAAAAGAGGATGTAAACAAGAGAAAGATAGAAAAGAGAAGATGAAAAGAAAGAGGACGAAATGTATATACATATAAAAAAACAGAAAAGAGAAAATAGGAAAAAAAATGAAAATAGACAGAGGAAGAAAAAAAACGAAAAGAGAAAAGAGAAAATACGAAAAGAGAAAAGGGAAAATACAAAAAGAGAAAATACGAAAAGAGAAAAGGGAAAATACGAAAAGAGAAAATACGAAGAGTAAGACAGGCAAAAACATTTTAAAAAAATGATAAACCAGAAACCTCAAATTTAGTTATTGTACGTTTTAAGACAACCATGAAACGCAGTGAGTGTAAAAGATCTTGCATATTTGCTTTTCCTGTAACGTATTCCAGGCCATGAAAGAATTATACGTTCTTCTTTCACTCTTTTCCTTTTTTTTCACATTTTGTATTCCTTCGCTTCTCCTTTTCTTCGGTCCTTTTGTTTTTATCGTCATCGATGTCTTCAAAGTCGTCGTTATTATCACTCTCTTCAGCATCGTCGTCGTCATCATTTTCATTATCGTCTTCATCGTCGTCCTCCTCGACATCATTATCATCATCATCCTCTTTATCATAGTCGTCATTATCATCATCTTTATTATCATCGACATCACTGTCCTCCTCCCTCTCTCTCTCTCTCTCTCTCTCTCTCTCTCTCTCTCTCTCTCTCTCTCTCTCTCTCTCTCTCTCTCTCTCTCTCCTCTCTCTCTCTCTCTCTCTTCCAAACCCCTTCTCCATCTAACCATCTGTTTCCTTCCTCTCTCTCTCTCTCCCTTCCATTCACACAGTCTATAAATACACAATTAATTAAGCTATGCGAGTGCAAATTTATGAGGTTAAGTGCGGACGTAAAAATGTAGGGTTTCGAACGCCTCTAAAGTG